CTAGCTGGGTCGACACGTCGATGTGTAGCAAAAATGCAAAATGCCCCCCCCCCTTCTCTCGCCGAACTGCCTCTCAAACTCTTTTCATTCAAGGCTCTGTACAACATGGGATTGGTGTGCCGCCAACAGGGTAATGTGGAGCAGGCATTGGAGTGCTTCTATAAATTGCACAATATTCTGCTAAACAACGTGCAAGTACTTTGTCAGCTGGCATCTATGTAAGTTTTCTTTCAAATTAATGATAACTTGTTAAACTGTTAATATCGCCGAAATAAATAACTAATTCCAGTTACGAGTCACTGGAGGATACAGCCCAGGCCATTGAGCTCTACAGTCAGGCGAATTCGTTGGCACCATCAGATCCAGCGATTTTGGCTCGGCTTGCTGCCATTTATGATGCTGAAGGAGACAAGACGCAGGCTTTCCAGAGCAACTACGATGTGAGTACAGCCATGATATTGTAGCACTTTTACAATCAGTTAGGTCCTGGTGCAAATGCCGCGCACGTGATGTCACCATTTGTCCAATTTGGATCTCCTAACTGGTTAATTAGTTGACACTTGGAATCTTTCGACTTTTCTGCGCGATTTTTCTTTGACCCTTCCTTCCCACTCCTTCCAGATACCAAGTTTTTGATGGGGATTTCTGAATGAAACTTTTTCAGAGCTATCGCTACTACCCGTCAAATCTGAAAGTGATCGAATGGATGGGTGCCTATTATATCGATGCACAGTTTTCCGAAAAAGCTGTGAACTACTTCGAAAAAGCATCCATCATGCAGTAAGTTCTAGCCATAAAAACATTGTGGGGTGGGGAAGCGGGAGTTATGGTTGGTACGGGATACGTTGCTGGTTTCTACCGATCATTGCCGAAGTCTCCAGGGAGACCTACAAATTCCTGTAAGCTATGCAACGGCAGAGGCTTCGTTTACACTTTAGAAGGATCATCAGGCCTCACCAAGGCAAAATGTGTAAGTTAACAGGAGCCAAAAAAGGAACTAGTTAAAAAATGCGATATTTCTCCCTTGCGGAATAGCGCCCACCTGGCCACTACTCATCTACATATTACACTCACCAGAACGCAATGTGAAACCCAGATGGGTTGACTGAATGAGTGCTGAAGAGAACGAGTGACCGCTATGTGCCTCGGGAGTAACACTCTGCGAGGTTTGGAACTTCGCCGCGCCATGTTTTGGCGCATAGAGAAACAGCATGCCGTACGCGTTAGAGTGGGCAACTTCAAATTTTATCTAGATCACCTTAAATTATGCTACGCTATCTCGGTGAGATGGTGCAGACTGGCAGATCGTACATAGCCAGTCCCTCTCCAAACCAAAAACGCGCACGCATTCCTTGCTGGCGTATTGTTTTTTCTTAGTCTTTATGCGCCTCGAATTATCATTGCATTTCAGACCAAATGAAATCAAATGGCAATTGATGATGGCCTCATCGCATCGACGCGCAGGCAACTATCAAAAAGCACTGGAACTATACAAAAATATCCATAAGAAATTCCCAGCAAATATCGAATGTAATTATTTCTAAACTTCAGCTTGGAAACTGACAGGACCCTATGAATTACTTTGTCAAGCTCAGATTAATTATAAGGATTCTTTAAGGTCTCAAATTTCTCGTGCGCATAACTAACCACGGACCTTGGTATGCCTGAAGCTAAGGAATACGTGGACAAGTTAGGCAAGGCGGAACGAGTACGTCAGCTAAAGATGCAACGAGAATCCGATAGCAGCCAGGGCAAACGTCACAGTGCTCACTCAGCTCATAGCCTACCTCCACTTCAAGGGAGTTCAGGTAAACTCTATGTGTTCTCTTGTAATTGGTGGTGATCGCATACCCGCGACCGTCACTGGTGAACGCCTCAGCTGCAGGCCATGTTTTGGGTTCGTTTTCAGAAAAAACCCGCAATTTTCCACCAAAAAAAAAAACTGGTGGGTGGGGGATACATAGCTAGCGTTACAAAGGGAAAAAAGCTAACGAAAAAGCTCGCCAACCCGGCCAAAAAAATTTTTATCAAATGAGTTAATACAAACCCCCGCGCTGGAGATGTCCTAAGGTAGGAATCTAGTTTCTTCTGGCGGACGGTTGGTCGGGTCAGCCAGCTATGAGTGTGTCACGCGCTATGGGAGCGCGTTCTCTTTGGGGCCTTCTTTCGTTGCAACGAGCGATTGCGACCAAAAAGTGGTAGGAGGGGAGACTGAGTATAACGAAGCAATATGCATCCAGTGTTATCACTTGCGCTGCTTTCAACCAAGCTGGTGTTGAACGAGATTGTTTAGCGCACCGCCCGCGCCAAGCAGCCGCACTAGAAAACACGCACCACCGTGGTCCGCAGACATTTACAGTATCATGCCCTGGCCGGCAACAGTATATTTTAATTAAGTATACGCTTCCTCAGCGCGGCAGAAAAACGAGGCCTCCACCGAATGATGTGTATTCCACCATGCTGCTATCCTCTCTAGGTTACGAACCATGTCTCCGTCGTTTAACCATGCAGCACCAGGGTCGCTGCCCTTAGCCACGTAAATGCGTTCGATCTTCCGGTCGGTAAAGTCCGGACTGTGCAGCAAGGACTACGAAATCCGCAAGAATCCCAAGGCGTCGCGCAAACTCCTTGTACCGTTTACTGGGCATAGCGCCAAGTTCAGTCGCCCGGCACAGATTCATTCCTCTGGCCTCTGCAGGTCCATAATGCCATTGCAACGCACTTGCGAATGCTTACAGTGGCACAACCTACGTGGCTTCAGACTTGCGTCCGCGTTATGGCGAAATCTGTTTTGGAATTTTAGTCTGTCCTTGTCCCTTCCACGTGCAATGCCCTTCTAGACCAAGACAATGGCATTATGCCAGTAATCATTTGAGAGTGACGGGAAACTTCTATCCAGTAGCTGAACAATGACCTTTACAATCTTATACTCATGCATACGTTACGTCCTGCTGATTCTTCATCGTTCAGGTGAACGCCCCACGTCACTGAATAGTTTGCGAATGTCGAGTGCCAAGTTCGCCTTCGAGGATCAGCCATTCACCGTTGCTCCGAGGGACATGAGTAAGTCTACCTATATATTCTTTGAAAAGGGAAATCATGCGAGATTCTTTCAGAGTCAGCTGACCTGTCCTATTCCGATCCAGTAGGAGCTGGAGCAGCTCGGCCGAAGACTGGTCAGCGACAAGCGAAACTGGACGATTCGTTCGAGGAGCTAGACGACTCATTATTACCACAATAGACTTACCGTAATATGATTGATAAGTGCAACAAAAATTTCATGTGATTTGGGAACTTATAAAATGTTTACTTAATAACTGCTACTACCTACTTTTATGAAAGGCCATATTAGGCACATTTTCGTCAGCATGCTTGTGAATTCCATGTGCTAAGACAAATTCCATGTTTGTCACATTGTCAGTGGGAGCAGCGTCAGGAACTAACGCTTTGTCAAGGATCAAGGACGCTCACCACGCTCACGACTCCTAAGAGGGTGGTAAACTCGATTATAACTCTAGGAAGACAAGCGGGACACAGTATCACCGAACTTTGTGCGTGAAATTAAATGTGTCGGCTTCGTGATCGCACGCAAGCGACGCTAATCCCACTTTCCACCTGGCCAAGAGATGCTCAGGCGAAAACTAAGCGGTTTTGTGTGTAATCGTTGCTCCTACGCAGTAAGTTTTACGCACGGGTTGGGGTACTGTATCCCACTTGTTAAGTTATAATTTGATCAAACACTCCAGGGTCTTGTGAATTATGTCTGCCAAGGTCAAAATGGAATCTTTATTAAACATTGCACATTAAGACTATGTAACAATGAATGCTGCTACGTTTTAACTGATAAACAATAAGATATCAAACTATCTAAGCGCGGAGTCGCTTCTCAGCTTTAGCCGCAATGATTCGATGAGCACGAGAGCGCGGACCCCACAGCTCTGGATCAGGTACAAAAAGACGTCGTGGATTGATTCGATTTTCAATACATTGTTCATACTGAAAGCTCCAGAATTATCCTCCCAGTCAGATAGCGCTCATTTGAAGGTCCTACGCCCTCCTTAGATATCGTAGCTTTGTCGACAAAGGTAGAAGATGTACTAGTTGCGCAGCTCCAAGAGGATGCCGCCCCGCCCACCTCGCTTCCATAACTACTTTGGCTTAGCCTTCAAAGGCTGAGCCCGCTTCAAGAATAATGAGTTATGGAGCTCGTATAATATTAGGTTGTCCGGAAAGTTCTTAGCGTTTTGTGCACCTAAATTTTGTACATTCACTGCTGATTAAGAACTCATTCTGCCTTACTTCTCAGTAGCACATCCTGTAGAGAATTTCTTGCGGCGCGGCTATCTGATGGTATAATTGCCATTTCACCATTGCCTTAATAAACCCCCTTTTTCCAAGATTTTTTCAAGCATGTGAAAAGAGCACTTCGGACGATTTTTTTCTTCGACTATAAATTGGGCAATCCGCAATCGAAACAGCTCAACAAATTAACCAGGTGTGGGGGCCCAATAGTGCTAGAGAAAGCACTGTGCGGCAATGGCTCAACAAATTTCGTTCTGGAGATTTCAGCCTTGAAGATGAACCTCATAGCGGTCGACCTAAAGCAATATCTGACGAGGATTTTAGGGGATTTTGGAGGCTGACCCATCCCAAACAGTTCGAGAGATAGCAGAAGAGCTAGGCCTTGGCAAATCCACTGTTGCAGATGGTCTGGAACGCATTGGGAAGGTGAAAAAACTCGACAATTGGGTGCCCCACAATCGGAGTGACCGGCAGGAATCGGCACGTCTCGAGGTTCCTTCTCACTGCTTTTGCGCAACAGAAACGACCTGTTTTTGGGCCGAATTGTCACCTGTGATGAAAAATGGGTCATGTATGATAACAGGAGACGTTCCGGACAGTGGTTGGATTCGACGAACCACCGAGGTAATTTTCAAAGCCGAACCCTCACGAAAAAAAGATTCTGGTCACGGCTTGGTGGTCATCGGCTGGTGTGATCCACTATAACTTTTTATCACCAGGCCAAACCATCACAGCAGAACCCTACTGTGAAGAAATCGACGAAATGTACCGAAAATTTTGTCAAATGCAGCCAACACTTATCAAAAGAAAGGGTCCGATTCTTTTGCATGACAACGCCCGCCCACATGTTTCACAAATCACTATCCATAAAATGAACGAATTGGGGGTTGAAGTTCTACCTCAACCGCCATATTCTCCAGACCTTCCACCAACCGAATATTCCCTTTTGGAACATTTTCAGAACTTCCTTGCTGGGAAATACTTCATCAAACAGGACAGGCAAAAAAGCCTTCGTGGATTTCGTGAATTTTGACCACCCAGTTTTTTACTTTGATGGGATTTCTCGACTAGCTTCACATTGGCAAAAGTGTGCTGATTCGAATGGTGCCTATTTCGATCAAATCTGCGATGGAGTATCCGAAAACATGTTTAACGATGTTTGAAGTGAAACCTCCAAAACGCTAAGAACTTTCCGGACAACCTAATATTAGGTCATCCCATTCAAAAGTGCCGAGACATATAGAGGAATGGCAGAAAAGCAAAGGGGATAGGGAAGCGGGCTACTATACCATTTGGAGGCTAGTACCTTTAGCTATGTATCTGTGAAATTTGGCGAACCTACCCACAGAGGAAGTTCTCGAGAAATTGAAAAAAGCCTGAGTAGTGAAAATCAGCTCATTTCAAAATCATTTTCAATTCAGGCGTCATAAGAGGAAAGTGCGCTGCTCAAATTTGACCTGCGCCGGACCAGTAGTTGTGTGTAATGGTGTTCTCGAAATACAAGGTGGAAGGTTTGGTTCAGGAGCCCGAAGAAGGAAGAAAGGAAAAAATTTGTTGTCGTGGATGGTCCCATAATGTTCATCCTGCCAAGAAAAGAAGGTGGATGAAGTCAAGCACTGAATGTCTGAATACAGAGGCTGGACCCTTGTCGAGCTCCCCGTGAGACTGACATCCCTGCTGCAACTGCTGCCCGAGTTATGTCCGATAAACTGAGGATGGTCAAGAGGGTGTGCGCATGGGTACCTAATTTTCTTGTAGAAGCACGAACAGTACCGATTCTATGCCTCTAGCAGTAATGTTCTCAGCATGAGATGTCATTCACGGCTGGCTGTGAAAACGTACCAAGCCCCAGATGAAATGTGGGTGGTCTTGGACCTCGAGGCAAAACTCACAATCGTCAATTTTGTATGAATGCAGATGAGAAGCCGCCCGAGTTCTACCATGAGGAGTTACGTGGGCGCAAGTGGATGATCATCATAGCAAAGGATTCCTACACTGAGGCTTTTAGGCGGCTCTATACAGAGAATAAAATCGTCGCTGTCGGTGTATATTGCCTGTTCCTCGGCAATCAGATCGACAAATGGACGGTACCACACAACTACAAGAAGCCACCGTTGCTCGTCATAGTGCCAGACCCACGTAGGAATTGTATTGTAAAGTGCAGCGCTGGAGACAGCACATTACTGAGAACGCTGGGTTGCAAATGGCGCCCAATTCGCCCAGGATAAAGCTGTTCGATTGTCCAACCGTTGCATGGTCAGATCGAGGTACTTTCGGGCGATAGCAAAAACGTCACACACGTTTTGTCGTTCGCCAGAAATTTGCATCAACAGGAAGTTTCCTCAACACATACTCTGGAAAAAACGAAGGTAAAGAGAGGGTCGCAAAAGCTTCCGGGGCCCTGGGAAGCGAGCCATCGTGAAAGAGGAGATGTAGCTTAACTGCAAAGTCAAAAATATCACTTCTACTTATCTACTATCCCTCTTTGTTTTATCGGCGAATAGAAAACCATCGGCACTTTTGAATGGGATGACCTAATACGTGATCCAGTAGTGAAGAAAAAAAGCAGAAAAAAAATCATGGAAAATGCCACATATAGAACCCTGTTCTGGTCAGGTGGGCGGGGCGACCGACTCTTCACTAGGGAACGGCGCTATCTTCTGCCTTTCTGAGATGCAAACTAGTCATACTGCATCCTCCTAGGGAGGGCTGTGATATCTCAGAGAGGGCGCGGGACCATCAAATGAACGTCGATGGTGCCTTTAAATGGCAGCAGCCTCAACGGAACGTCATCTCTCCTTTCTTTTCCGAATCTTGACAGGCCATTGTGCAAGCTTGACAGGACACTTCAGAGTGCTTGACTGCTTGACAAGTTGGAACGATATTCACATGTCCATAGCCCACAGGATTTGCTATGCTGGCAAGCGCTCACTGGTGTAGCCCACCCCAAGTTTATTGAGCCCTTTTCCTTACACAGTAGCTCGTTTTGCTTGGTGCAACCAAAAAAACAGGACTCACTCGATAGATGGCTAATACCGGTATTGGAAGTAGTATCAGAAAGAATATTATGTGATCGATGTAATCGAAATCCGCAGCTTCGCTATCAATAAAGAGGAACAGCGTCGTCTGAAATCATCAGGTCAAGAAGGTAAGTAATAATGGAAAACATAGCAGTCAGGCATTCAAGCTGTCCATGCTCATTATATGGGTGGAGTCAGGCCTACTACCGCATCTTTGTCATTGATGCATCTTCTCTTCCACCTTTTGTAACAGATTTGGCTACTTACAGGCGAATCCTTATTTATATGGCGTCATATTGAGACTGCCGAACCTATTCTTTCGCTCTTTTCCTTGGATAATTCCTAGATGGAGCAGGTCGTCATAATATTACTTACACGTGGAACCAGTCGGCTCTGGTTCGAAAGTCGCGCACGTAAACCTATTCGTAACGGCTCTTGACGCTTTAGCCGGAACGTGGGTCTCTTGCAATACCATGAAGCGACATTAACTGGCGGCGGCTGACGGCAGCAGCTTCTAGGGGCAAAGTAAAATCAATTTGGAGCGCTCCAGAGAGCAGAGCAAAACCGCGAAGAATTCCTCGACTGCTGTCAGAATTATTTTAAATCCAAGTATGAATTCATACGGGGCATTCCCTTGAAGAAAAGAGTGGACGAAATTATCAAAGACGCCTTAAACGAGATCTTGAGATAGGTGTCTCAAAAGAGAGACTGCTGCGTAGGCGAGAGACAAAAGAAAAGGGAAAAGAAGGCGAATTGGAAGAGGCGAAGATCGGTCCCACACAGAATGACGAAAGCGTTCACCCACGCCTATTAATATGGGACCGCGGGCATATGTCAGCCGACACAGGGTGAGGCAAGTTTTATGAGTGGCGCTCCCTCGGCTAGGGACGGCGACAGCACCTTCGCCACTCATGGAGGA